AGAGCGATAATATGAGGAAAAATTACGACATGACAAACGACAATATGACCAAAAAATGCGGAGGACATTCTTTTAGTTAGTTTTTTTTATATGAAGAGAGGCCCTCAGACATGAGAAAACTTTCCGAGGCATTGTGTGGGTCTAAAGTTCCAGTTGGGACAATCAGTCTTTCCGCAGTGAGCCAAGATGAGGAGCATAAAGTGGAGAGGCAGCCAATGGTTGTGTCACAGCAGGAAAGACGGCTCAGAATTTGAAGGCTTAATGTGGCACGAGGGCTTTAAAAAAAAAAAAAAAAAGAATCGCAGTTTTTCCTTAATGCTTCTCAGTTTATTTTATTTGAGTGTGAAAAGTTGTGTGGCAAATTGTTAAAATTCAACGTTCAAAACGAATATTTTTCTAAAACTATCGTATCAAGTTGCTTCTGAGTTTATGGAAAACAATAATATATGCCATATAATATATTCCATTTGGTGAACATTTAACTTGTCTTGCAAGTGAGTGCATACATTAGTGGTGTTACTGCCATGCCCTACCAGCTGAGCTAGTTAGGATATTGATGCTCACTTCCGTGTAATGATTATGACTGATAGCTGGTCTAATTATATGCCTAACACTGAATCGCTGACTGTAGAGGGATTAAAAAAGATCTGTAGAGAATGCTTGCCGTTGACTTCTGCTGCTAACACGCCGACCAGCCATAGTAGAGTGAGAGGAAGTGACCTCACCTAACCTGGATATTTATACTTTGGGAGTGGCTAGGTTGTTAGCTTCTTCACCTGGGTTACAAGAGGGCTGTCAGAATCAACCATTTCGGGATATTTCTCCAGAAAAAAAGTAAATGACAAAGATAAGACATGCTGAAGATAAAGTCATAAAACAGTACTGGCACTGATGGCATGGAAAATAAATACCTGGTCCACATCTGGGCTGACGTAAATACTGTTCAGCGCACAGGTACCCTGTTAAATGTCATGAATAAATAATACATCGGTTATAAATGATTTAATAGTTATGATGATGTATGTAACATGTCAAAAGCAACTCCTCTTTTTCATGCAAATCTTTATAGTGTCAAGGGTGTTTGACTGGCAGCTGAAAATTTCTGGGTTCAAACCCCAATGACCTGTAGGCCTCCTTGGGCAAAATGTCTAACCCCTAAGTTCTTCACCCCACTCTAAGACACTTTGGATAAAAGCGTCTGCTAAATTACTAAACACTAGTAAATGTAATATGGCCTCTTTATATATCAACAGTTCTGTTCTTTGTTTTTATACAAGTGCGTTCAAATGGACCACACATTCCCATCCCTGCCTTACATGTTAAGCATAGATACTCCCTCTGTCGCAAATGTCCCTTCTCTTCCGGGTGGTTTCTCCATTGAAACCAAAAGCTTGTCCAGCAAAAGAGAAGATACAACAGCTAAGCAGTTGCCTTTGTCCCTGAGCCATGCTCTGTGCATACAATAGAACAGTGGATAATAAAGCCCTGGTCCCACTGTCCTATTAAATCCCCAGCCATCTACCGTTGCAACAAACTATATTTCCACATGTGAGTAAATGCACTTATAGCTTCATGATATAGAGGCCAGATAACAAGAACACCAATTGGCGAATCTGAACTGTGCCCCATCACTTTCTCACCCCCACAGAGAAATCGACCAGTTTATAATCAATCAGATCTCGGGGTGTGAGAAAAGTGCTGACGACAAGTTCCTGGACTGCTAAAGATTGATGTGGTGTGAATTATACAGGTATAAAAACCATTCAACAGCTAAAAGGAGGGGGGGAGGTAGGTAGCACCTTTGAATAAGGGGGCAGGGGGGCAGTTACTCTTAAAAGACGTACAAACAGTTTAAAGAAGAAAAACTAAGTGCTAGGGGGAAATGTCCGCACTGAATACTCGGCCCTTAATAAATGCATGGCAGAACAGTGTCGAACATTCATCGGAGGCCAAACCATAATTTCATAATGTCATTTGGCAATTGCCAGTCTGTCATTTTGGAAAAAGAAACTCTTGGTACTCCAATGTCAGTTTTGATATGGCTCAATAGCAGCAGGAATGGTTTGTTTAATAACATGAATGGCGTCCATATATATATATATATATATATATATATATATATATATATATATATATATATATATATTTTTTCAAAATAAAATCCCATGTGGCAAAGTAAGGCATCAAAGGTAGAGATCGTATCACACAGCTCCAGAAGTGGCCGTGAAAACAAGAGTTGCCCAGGGAGAGGGATGAATACCCAGGGAAGGACATCAGGGAACCAGAGACCAAACGGAGACACAGAGAGAGTGCTGAAGGAGGCAGGAGAGAGAGAGCGAGAGAGAGAGAGCCTGCTGATGATTATATATGGAGCTCATGGCTGCGGTCCTAACAGGAGAATTTTCCCCTTGCACAGATCAAAGCAAAGAGGGACACGATATCTTGTTCAACCGTTTGAAAAAAACAAAAACAGAAAATGTTTTAATTAGATGGCGCGAGAGGCAGCTATAGAGTTGTATGTGTTGTGTGTTGGTGGTTTGTTTCCCTCAGAGGAGTGGAAGTATGATGAGTTTCTGTCATTTATCACCGTGTTCCTGTGGGATGTGTAATCTTCTTTTCGCAGATGCTTAGGGTGAGAATGGGCAGACGCACCACTGGTCCAGAATTCAACACAGAACAGGCCGTTTCGGTCTGCAGAGATCCATTCCTGGAGTATATTCCATCCAAGCCAAAGCTCGACGAACGACGAAGACCACGTTTCGCCTTTTTTTCATGTTTTGTTTCAATGCTCAATTTACGACGGGTATTATTGAGGGGGAGGGAAAACATCTTCCACTTAAAGAGCAAATATCTGTGGTAGCAGAAATTTGATTGAATAACCCCCCCCACCCCCGCCGCCACCTTGACCTCCAGCGTCCCCCACCATCACCACTACCCTCCCTCCCTCCCTCCCTCCGCTCCACTCCACTCCACTCCCGCCCAATGGAATGAAACAAAGCTCTCCACGGGCCTGCGGCTGAGTCCGGGAACCACCCGGTGTTCCTGATGATTTTGGCGGTGGGTGGCGTCCCCGGACCCTGCTGGTTCTCTAGTATTTATACTTCAAACCGCCTCCATCGAAATTCCAGTGCCAATAAATTTGACTCTGCACTCAGAACTCCTTCGCCTTTTTTTTTTTTTTTTCTTCGGCGGGATGGGGGTGTGGGGGCAAATGCTGAGTCAGGCCCCTCTTGCCTGCTGAAACTGCGTTTTTTTTTTTTGTGCTATTGGGTTTGCGTTGCGTGTCTGTCAGGTAATTTGTTTGTGGGCAGCCTTTCTTCAAGGCACTGTCTGAGGTGGTTGTGTGGAGGTGGGCTATGCCTTTGCTATAGTGGCAGCTCTACATCCCGAGAGCAGAGGACACCCCCCTCACCGAGGCACCTAACACCTATTTAAAAGCTACTACAATACTAAAATATAAATAAAATATTTTAACATTCAATGGGAAACTAAATATCCTGAATATATATGTTTTACAAAGCTACGTACATTCTGTAACATTTTGGAGTGATTAAAATAACTTTGGCAAAAAAAATATGATGGTTCGAGTTCCCAAGACCTCTTTTCAACTTAACAAAAAAAATAGAGACCCTTCATCCCCAAAGGCCGTTGAACTTTGAAAGCCTTACGAGTCAATAATCCCCCATTAAGTGACGAAAGCCCTCAGCTAAGTAGTGCATGGTAAAGAGCTGTCCTAAAGCGTCTCAATCACTGGGGGATGGACAGCTTATTTTCTCTCTATTCTGGCCCAGGGACCCTAGTAGCAAACGAGGGGGGATGGGGGGAATGTGTCTTGGGAGGGAGGCAATTACTTTCGAGGGGATCTCATCGCTGGCCTTTGTCATTCATCCTTATCCGAGAAATGTGTTTCTCATTAGACAAACGTTGAACGGAATTAGAGCCATGGTAGGGTGTGTGTGACAGGGCCCATCAGCCTCGCTGTTTTTTTTTTCCCTGTGGTGACCCGTCCCCGTGCACCTGGTCTAGAGGCACAACATCTGGCACCGCAATTGCATACGACATACAAATTGTCTCACCTTGGAAGAAAGCCATTGCAAGGGGCTACTGAGTGTGTCGAGAGAAAAAGGTTTTCGGGTGGGATTTGGTTTTGGGAGCTGTGGTGAGTCATCAGCCGGCACTTTGGCAGAAGTTTGAAGACAGAAGAAAAGTTGGAGCACGCACAGTGTGTCCGTCAGCAGCAGCTGCGCGCTAATTAGAGTGGAGGTGATGTGTAGTCACCCTTATCAATAAAGTGTCAAGCTCCCAGCTGTGCATAAATACAGATGAAAACATATGTGTATGACAGTATGTGTGTATGCAATGTGTTTGTGCATGTATGCGTGTGTTTTAGGGAAAATTCACAGAATCGCAATGGTGCACAGGCATAAAAGTTCACGATGCGATTGCCAGATTAAAAAATGTTTACTGCAGGACGTTTGCCACAAGTGAAACATCGAAGACAAGAACCCAGCATAACTCAAAAAAACATGGCTGGAGTTGGTGTGCAATGCATCACACACACTAAATCTGGCCTTGCAAAAATCCCTGAAGGTGTACAGGGTGTAAGAGCTTCTAGTGAAAATGAGGAAGGTGGTAACTTTTTTTTACAGAAGCAACTGAAGTTCTACATGAAATGCAGGCACCTGCCAAACCACAAGCAGGTTCATGATGTTTCCACAAAATGGAACAGTTCCCTTGACATGTTGGAGCTTGTTTTGAGAGCAGCAGCCTGCCGTGTTGAACAGAAGATAATGAGGGGAGAAGGCATGGCCAGCCTGACAGAGGAAGACATGACACTGATCCAAGAGGTCATCAAATTGATGGCCCCTCTGAAACTGGGGAAACCACACTCCTCAGTGAGGAAAACAAAAACGCTATCTTGATGATCTCCCCAATCCAGGCCAAACTACAGAGGAATTTCCAGCCAGATGAGAGCGCTCTACCAGTAATTTCCCAGATGTGGTCCTGTCTAGCTCTACTGGTAGAGCATGGCATTAATGTTGCCAGGGTTAGGGGTTTGATTCTCACTGGGACCACCCATGCTGTAATACACTTTGGATAAAAGCTTCCATCAAATGGCATATACATATATATAGCCCACTTGAAAAGGTGGTCTTGAGTACGGATCAGGTGTGAAAGCTGCTGTACCAAAAAAAAGAAGTGGACTGCTATTCTTCATATCTGCTTATGCGTGCAACACAATCCAATGTCATCCTCTGAACTGCTCGGCCATAGATGATAAAGTAGAAGGGCAGGTGAGAGGGTCGTTCTTGACACGGTCTCCAAAATATCAACAATAGTAGGCATTACGTGAAGATCGACTCCATTGTATGGGCTTGGGATCTTGCGATTGGTGCGCTTTTCTACACTGGAGCAACAACAATGTTGCGTAGTGTATTCTTCTTCTTCTTTGTGTTTATTGGCAACTCGCAAACCAACTAGAGGCACCGCCACCCACCGTATCGGAGTGTGTAGATACGCAAGTGTACTCGGGTACTTAACAACATATATATACTTATGTGAATGCTGAGCGGAGGGGGAGTGGACAATCATACTCGGTCATGGTGCGAAGCAATCATACCTAATGTAAAGGGGCCTAAGGAGGAAATCTTAAAGTACAGAAAGAGGGATTTTTTAGGTATAAGTGGTTGCAGAGATGTTACACACAAGTAGATATTCGACTGCTTTCTGCATTCGCAAAGAGCTACCTCTCCATCGCAGCAACAAGTGAACCCTGTGAGTGTTTAGCACAGCTGTTGACATATTTAGAGCAGTTTGCTTCATCCTGATCAAGTGGAGCAACTAATATTATTATATTAATATGAGTTACATTTAGTGTGCGAGGTGTTATGATAGTTTGACTGTTGTTTACAGAAGCCTGTGACTGCAAATAATGGTTTCCTACCTGCTGAAAGAGTGTTAAGCACACGTCTGCTGACAGTAGTTACAGCACATTGCATAATGCTTCATTCTGAGCATCCTAAAATTGTTTAACTGTTAATTGTGTGGTGTTATAAAAGTGCACTGTACTGTAAACTGGAGACAGAGACAACTACACTACAAAGGAATTGTGAAAAGGCCCGTTTGTGAAAGGCCCAAGTGTTTTTTTAGAGGTCAAAAAGGAACAGCATAAATTAGATGGTTACTGATGGAGTTGCAGTACTAGAGAAACAAATATGTAAAGTCAGTTTTAGTTAATTTATGATTTGCTGTGTGCTTCGGAAATAAAATCAAACTCTCTGTACCATACTGAATTGCATAGCATCATTCTTTTGCATCGCGTCAAATCGGATCGTATTGCGTTGAATCGCATTGTGTTGATTCAAATCGTGTTGAATCGCACTGCATAGCAATATGGGTGAACCGTATCGTATCGCATTGGTAGCTGTGTCATATGTATGTTTAATGTAACGGATCGTTGGCAATGCATCAGGATGCTTATCACATCGGCCTCAGTGATGGAGATGCACATTCCTAGTGTGTATGTGTGTGTATGCGTGTGTGTGTATAGTATGCATGTATGTTTTTACTTTTTTTGTAAATACATTTTATATTATGTTGGTGTGTATTTTGGCAAAGTTTTAAAGCAGGAATAGTCTAAAATAAAGCCTTCGGGGTAGGTGGAAATCCCCCACGTTCGACAAGTCAAAAACAACAACATCAAAACTGAAAGTGCAATTTATAGCAACATAGCGCTAATGTGTCATTGAATGAAAATAATCACACATCTCAATAGCAGTTTATGTAGTTTGAAATATTTCTTGGAAACATTTTTTGGAAGTTAGAAATATATTGGATATTCAACCAATATTCACAAATTACAGTGATCTGACGCAGGGAACTAAAGAGGCGACCATCGTTCCAGTGTGTCTAGCGGTGTCTACCTGCCCAGGAGTCGGGGCTCCCAAGCGAAGCAGCACTCCTCTATAGAGCTATCTTTTGGTCAATAGTTCTACACAATAGGCAAATTACATAATAGCCTGCCCTAAACAATAACCTAACTATATTTGTAATTGGAAATAACATTCAAATTGCTGTTTAGAAGTGTATCCCGCTCGCTCTACAACAGTAAAAAGCAGGTAAAAAACTAAGTGGCCAGTGGAGCTCCAGTGTGGGTGTAAAGCACATAGACATACAATACAGGTTAAACTGACTTTTGATATATGTACATTGGTGGACAATATCACAGACTTAAAAAAATAAAATAAAAAAAGCGCTGTGTGTGTTTTTGTGTATTTACACAGACAATCTTCAGCTAGACCCTTTGCAAGCATGTCAATACCGGCACAGCCCCGACAGCCACAATACAGTCCGCAGCCCCAGCATGCTAACTCAGTTATGATCCAGTCTCTGCTGAACAGCGTCTCTGGCAGAGGCTGAAATCCCCGGATAAGCAGAGAGAGAGTGACAGGAGCGCACAGCAGCTACCTGCAGTAGCACCGAGGGCCGGGGGGGGGGGGGGGGGGTGTAGGGCTGCCGTCCAGTGCACAAATCGGCAAGAACAACAGAGACAGACTTCAGTCAGAGAGACAATCCCACCAGGATTCGTATGAAAGTTTGTTTTTTTTATATCGTGGATGCGTATTGGACTTGAATATGCGCAACCCACAGAAGACAATTCACATTGCGTGTGCTGCGATCCACAAATATTTTGTACTTGTGCTTTGTAAAATATAATATTTCATGATCCACAAATACATAAATTAAACTTGTCTCATAAACTGATGTCCATAATTTTACATGTGAACTAATCCATACGCCTTTGTGGATCTCGTAGAGTTTTGTCCAATTTATACTGCAGCTGATCTGTAAAATGTGAATGCACACACACTAAACACCTGTAGATGGCGCAGTTAAATGTGCCAGAAAAACCCCCCGCCACATGCTTTGGGTTAATCCCCCTCGGTCGCTCCCCGACAGTGTAGTGTGGAAGTGTGGAAACCTCTGCTCACCTCCACCCCCAATGTGTGTGTGTGTGTGTGTGTGGGGGGGGGCAGCTAAATTGGGCACACACCTGTGCACGTGTGTGTGTGTCCTTTCAGTGGCATTGTGGTTCTTGCGTTGGTATGTGGTTATGGTACTCTGGCAGTCAGACTGCGGGTGCCAACAGGGAAATCACCACATCTCAGATTCCATTCCTATGCAGCACTCAGATGCCCTCTGAGCCCCTTGTGGGGGACTGAAATGAATATCAATAAACAAACTACTGAGCAAGCATTAGTCTCTTACACAAGCGCACGCGCACACACACACACACACACACACACACGTATCATGGATATATTAACACCATGTGCCATGGTGTAGAAAATATTACAGGATTCTGGTTCCCTTTCGGCGACTAGCCTGGCCTTCAACCCATAGGCGATCACTAACAAGCATCACTAACTATACCACAAAAAACCTTAGCAAACAGCCCTTTCCAACACTAAGATAGCAAGCCCCCTGGCTTTAAACACACAATCCCCACCATCTGTCTCAAACACCCCTCGAGGACAGACACAGAGCACAGCAGCACGCGCACCATGACAGCCAATCAGAAGGGCCGGTAGCTGGCCGCGGAGAGATCTGAGATGAGTGTTCAAATGGGTTTGATATAATCAGCACACACACAGATAATCACCACATGGAAGGAGGAGGAGGAGAGAAAGATAAAGAAGGCTGAGAGAAGAGGGCTCTTTTGACAGAAGCGGGAACTAGAAAAAGCTAAAGGGGACAAAAGAAAAAACAGAAAAGGGAGAGAGAAGAGACGGCCGTGGGATGAAAAGGGGTGGGTACAAAAAAAAGAAGGGTTTAAAAGTTAAAAACAAGTTAAGAAAGTATGCCAACAGGGAAAGAGATCACAGTCTTAACAAGGGAGCGGAGTGAGTCGTGTTGAGCCCACGCTCTGCACCCAGCCCTGCCTGAGTGATGTCTGCTAACGGCTGTCCCAGCTGATCATCTGTCTGCCAGCGCCAATATGGCCGCCAATGGGCTACACGCCGCTGTCTTCTTGAAAGGCCGCCAGTATTCTTCCTCGCCCCGATGGTGACAGCACCAATAAATGCACAGCTTGTGTTTACGAGGAAACGCGACGCAAGCAGATGATTAGCTGACCTAATTGGAGCTCCAGCAGATTCTTGTTAAATTAAAATGGCTAAACCAAAATAATTGTCTCAGCTGCTGATTTTTCTTTTTTATTGGTCTGACTAGAGTGCAATGTGGATGAAGTCACGTTTGTGCAATACCAGCGTTTCCTAATGCCACGATATGAATGCAATGAGTCATAGTCAGAGTCTCTTATGCCACCGAAGACATTTTTTTTGCAGGATATGTCAAAAAAAAAGCCACAGTACTAGCATGCAAACTCCAGATATATATCATCTCCAGAGATGAGAATGGACCCCCGAGGTCTTAAAAGCATCAGAAGATGACCCGCAGTTCTCCAGAGCTGCGCCCACTTCAAATATTCAAAGCCAGGACTTTAAAGAGAGAAGAAGAAGGATAGAAGAACAAATTCAATAAAGGACCCCCGTGCGAGAGAGAAAAAGAAAGCCATTTTGAGCCCGTTGCAAGCAAGCAAATGAAATGGAAAGTAAGGGCAATGGCTCCTTCTTACACTCGGGCCACTCTCAGAGTCTCAGTGCTGGCAAGACGGCTGAGATGGAGACGAGTGTCTGCTGCTGGCGAACCAGGGGGACTAAGAGTAATTATCACCGCCACTCTGTTTGGAATCAAACAAGTCGATGCGCTAAACCGGGAAAAATGTGGTGCTGGGGTTGGGTGGGGGGGAGTGGGGGGAAGTGAGGGAGTGGACAAAACCTCAAGGATTCGTTACACGAATTGGAATTCGGTGCGCAATTAACTTTTATAATGTGTTTACAAATTAGGTCCACCCCCGCTGCAATTGTGTGTGTGTGCACGCGTGTGCGTGTGTGTGTGCGCGCATCGGTACATACACGGCAGTGAACTAACAAGTGTAAGCGGTACGAGGGGTCGGGTAATCTTAACGCCCCCACATCTCATAAGACGGTGGAAATTGGAAACGACTGGTAAT